TTCGGTATCCTTGTGTACTTTGTCTAGCCAGGTTTTCAACTGTCCACCGTGTCGATAGCACCAGTTCGGGTAGAGAGGTGGTTCCAAGACATTAGGTCTTTATCAAACTTATGAGTAGTGTGACCAAACCATTATAGTCTTTGACGTTGTATAAGCATCCGCAGCCGTTTCTGACAGCTTCATTTGAGACGGTGGTGGCCCGGTGATAACGTCGTCAAATTACCACCCCGGAAGATGAGTGTTCGAATCCCACCACCACCGCCTGACTTTCCCCGTTTGTGTGTTGTATGGTAGCCCTTTGATTGGCCGCTTCCCTCTTCCTGAAAATTGTATCATTGCATATTCAATAAAAAGAAGTAAAAATGACAAAAAAAAATGCAAAAAGGAATGTTTCTTCGATCGTTTCCAAAGTCTTTGATTCCCATGGGCCGGTTTTCTCAGGCGTACAGCTAGACAGAACAAACTGTCGCGGAAGAAACTCTTTTTTTGGCCGATTTCACTTCACTGCCATGGGGAATGATTCACCAGTGGAAAAACTGTTCTTGCCGGATCGACGCGCACTTGTACCTTGATCATGGGGGAGTATGGTTAATCTGTTGAAGGATTTGGTCAGCTTGTCGTTTTAATTGTAAAGCATTTTCTGGATGAACGGGAACACTTGCAAACACTTTGATTAATGATACGTTCACCTCTAGGCCGATAAGGCAAAAAATGAAGTGGACAATCCAAGTGATTACCAACGATCGATTGTCATTCACATTGCACTCCTTCGGTGCGGATCCAGATGTATGAGTTTTTGATTGCATTGTCCAATCATATAACTGATACATTCTCAGCTGATAAGAAAATTCCCGGATCTGGTTGCAAGATAGACACTCCCACTCTCACCTAATTCACTCCACGTAACAGAATTAATTACTATAGCTGAATGTATAACGTTGATGATGATGCTCATTCCAGTTTGTCCCTGTGAATAAAGCGAATGCAAGTCGAAAAACCTCGTACTCCGTGCATAGAATCGAGTAATACAAACGTTCTGCCTTCATTGGCACTTCTCGCACAATTCAAGCATTCTTCCTACTTTCGCGAGTAAATGGTTGAACACTGTCGGAAAATCCCTCTCCTGTCTCTCTCCCAATAGGTGTTCTATTTCGATCACCAAAGTACTTGTAAGATGCTTTATTGTGTGACTGAAATTACGTACACCGGACTTACCAGTACTCTGCTCAAAACCGAACAGTTCCTTTGCGGTCGTAACCGTCTCCCAGTTTGATGACCTTTGCCCGCCGGATCGGAACTTGTTACGTTTTCCATCCATGGCCATTTAGTTTGCACTTTTCCGCATTCTCTGCTATGGTTACCTAACCGTCCCACATAAAAACTGCTCCTCGCAAGTGATTGCCGTAACCTGTTCTTCGTTCAACCGTGATCTATCGTAATCTATTATTCCCATACCCACATAGAAACTGTATCGGAGTAACTGTCTTCATTCGTTCTGCGCTCAATCCATTGATGTTATCAATTATCGCGACCCGGCATAGAAACTGTCTCGTTTTATTGTGATCACTTGTTCATCACGCACCCGCTATGATTATCTTACTGTCTTCACTATTGTCACTGTTTTCTCGCAATCAGTTTTTTTACCCACATACTACCGCCCGCCTTGTATGCCTAACCACTCCGTTATATTTCCAATAATTCATGTATGATTATGCAACAATACACGTAGATTTCCAAGTCTTGTGTTCTGCCGCGGGTTCGGGGTTCGGTATATGCGAGTCAATCTATCATCGGACGTCAATCCGGTACAGTCATCATCATCATCATCGTATAGCGAGACACAGTGAAGCGAGCTTCACTGATCGCTGCCAAGCTCACAGTGTACACAAATCAAATGATAAAGCATAAAATGGAGAGGGATTGGGCCTACTTGGAGGGAGGCAAACAAAAAGAACCTCTATGGACAACACACAGAGCACACAATCTAAGTGTTCATGCATACATTTTTTCAAACATTCTGCCTAGTTAAGAAATGACAACAATAGCGCCACTACTGTCGGTTAGTCGCCATATCCTTTATTGTCTCCAGCCAACCAGTTGTAGAGTCTTTCGGACCCCAACCTGGAAGACAGGAGACCGATTCTATCTAATCGCTCTGTGCATTTCTTCATGCCTCGCTTCCACGTCATCTGTTGACCACCATGCGGTTTCTTCCAACCTGGAGCCGTAACTGCGAATAAGGCGCGGTGTGGCAGACGATGGCTGGGTATGCACAATACGTGTCCTAACCAGCGAAGCCGACTAATCTGAATTCAATGGGACAACGAATTCTCCATCAAGTCATTACCAAATACGCGACGCCTCACCTCAGAGTTGCTTACAAGCTCGCTCCACCCAACCCGCACCAAACAAAGTAAACATCTGCAATCGAATACTTCAAGACGACGAATATCTTCCGGGCGCAAATTTGGGGTCTCGCAACCATAGAGCAGAACTGGCCACACATTGGCGCAGTATACATGACCCTTCAGTTTCAACGAAACATCGCGTCTACACCAAGGGTGTTTCAATCTTGCGTAAGCTGCTCGAGCCTTGGAAATGCCCGCGGTTACTTTATTGACTATGCTACCGTCATTTGTGCGGCAGCTACCTAAGTAGGTGAAACATTGCACTACAACTAATTCTTGACCATCAAGCATCAGCGCTGGGGTAGACGATACCCAGTCTTGTAGCATCACTTTGCACTTTGAAGGTGCAAAGCGCATGCCGAAAGGAGACAGAACTTGCTAGTCAGTCAAGAGCGCATTGCGCATCCTCCATAGATTCGAATAGGCGTATGATGTCATCAGCGTACTCTAAATCGCACAGCTTTTCTCCATCTGCCCATTCAATACCTACGTTCTGAAGACCACTGAGTGCGTTCTCCAGTACTTTGTCTACGACGAAATTGAACAAGAATGACCGGTACCGTAGTACTATTGGTTATCATTCCGGTTCATTCCGGGTATTTATCGATCTAATTTCGTGTGACCGGGCCGGATTAGTCACTCAGTGAATCTGAAGTCAGTGACGTTAGTGATCACTGTACTTGGAAAGTGGTCAATCCACTATACCAGACGATGCATGAGAAAACCAATTCAGTTTAGACTAAAGGGAGCAGACTAAAACACAGTGTAGAGACTAGGCACATACGGTAAAGGAGTTCACTACATGATCAATCAGGGAATCAATGGGATCTCAAGTGGATCGACTTTTTCGGTCAGTATAAGTAAAATCAGAAGAGGATCCCTCAAACGAAGAAGTAGAACATTTCAGGGGACCCGGTTCCAGCGGATCGTCGATATGCGTACGGACTACACACCCCTTCCTGGTTGTGGTAGTAGTACCGGTTCGGTTGGGCATCAATGTTCGCGTAACTCGTGATTACAGATACCGAGTGATACGACTGATTGTGTTAAACAGTGGTCTTCTTGCATTTACTCTCTCTCTCTCTGTCATTGTAACCTTAGTCCTCTTGATCGCTCTGTCTTCACCTTGACACTTTTCAACATTCCGGTTTTATGGGATATCAGGCTTGGATTAACTCATTCGCGATTGTTCAGAGGCACCAGGCATTCTTGATGGTCTTGGTTGTGGGTTTCACTCCTTGGGAGAAAACATTTATATCAGGGTTCGTAGGCTATCCTTTTATGCTTTTAGGCTTAAAGTGCTCGGCGTTCCCTTGAACGTAGTTCTTAAATTTGTGACTGAATGCATCCTTCCACATTGGTTATACTCCCCCCACCCCGGCATATTTTCCTGATCTAAACGAAAAAAACGTTATTATCCTTTCTAGATCTTTTAAACTTCTTTCCTGTTGCAGTGGCATTTGAAAGACCGTTTTAGTTAAGTTTATTGTAAGCAAGCATTTTAATTCATGCGACAGATTTATCAGCCATATACTGTCAAATGACGGATACTGCCTGCATGCATGCCCATCTCTCAACAAATCGGTGTCTTTTCCGAGTACGCGTTCCAAATTGAGGATTGTTTGTGCACACACCACCACATACAGAAAAAAAGCATCATCGTCNTCCCTCAGTTTGCTCCTATCTTTTTCAATCGAGCAAAGATTATTACTGACTTGAATAATGATCTGTCACATGAAAATTTTACCGCATCCATTTGCTTTTCACTTGGTAAATGTATATTTTCTTTTTTTTCAATGCCCAAAATTTCCACCACTTTAAATTGTCGAAAGTGCTTTAAGTTCATCCTATTAGGTGCATAAAGCTTTACTTGACTTGACAGTTCCAGATTTACTAAATGGGTGGATTGTTATGATCAGACTTTTCTGAATCCGATCGGCTTCTCTCATCTGATATAAACTGGTGTCGATTTTCTCTGATTCAATCGCGAATGCAATGACCGTGTGATATTGTGTCATGCGGTTTAACGGGCGTTTATGTGACTGATGATGGGATCACGGTTGATAAGCATATCATCCAGAACTGCACTTGGCACGTTGTTGGCCCACTCGGAATTATAGTTCCTGTAAATAACTTGAACAGTATGAGGTTTTATCCCTTTTCTGTAGCTCTGATCCCAAACACCACACTCAAATTGCGTGTTTATGTGGCGTTTTGAGATGTCCCACTTCTAATTTCCTCAGCGGTTGCATTGTACAGATGTACCAAATTCCGGACGCAATTTATGTTGACAGTGCTCAACCTCAATGAACAGTTTTTCATGATTCATCGTTTTTCGGTTTTTTTTTATTGGAAATTTGGCAAAGCAACACAGTAATTTTTCTGCATAATTGAATCGGGAACCGGAACGGTTTGAAAGCTCCCTGTAATTTACCACTGCAGCAATCGATCGCCTTTTCAACAGTGGACAAATAACTTTTGTTCACCATTCCCCCCACCCCTCCTTCCCCCATAAATTCCATCATTTCTCCTGTTTTCCTGGTTCACTCACTCACTGAATATAGTCCATCTCTCTCTTGAACTCTGCTACAGCGTCTGCAGACCACACATACGTTGCCCAGGTCGCCCGCCACGCTGACGGCGGAGGCCGGTACGACGTGGAACGAGAAAGTGGACACAGGAAAGTCTACTCCATCGGACATTGTGATCGAGAGAAAGGTGTTCCAGGTGTTGTCGGCCGATCGATTAACCTGGTCCAATTTCCAACCGGTACGTTGATCTCGCACACACACACATGCATGCGCTCTCGTTTTCCGTGAAATCGTTTCTGACCGGTGCGCCAGCTCGCTCATCCATCCATGCATGGAGTTTTTTCTTTGCATTCAACATGTCTGCAAATGATCATTTCCGATTACGTCGGCGAAACTCATGAGAAAAAGAAACATCCAGATCTCAAAGATGGATATCAGTTGCGTCAATGTAAGACATAAACGTGTATGAATGTTTCGCGTGAGCTATGGAATTAAACGCTGGTTGAGAGAAACATTTGCTATTGGGATAGATGCTCAAAACCGCACCAGGTTCTCGTTTTTTGTTGCCGCAATGAATTGGTCCCAAAAATTCGATTGCTGCTTACCGGTTTATTTCGCGGTTTTTTCTCCAGCTGTGCTTCTGAAGAAAAAAACTCCTAACTCTCATTGTTCGAGTTTAAAATTCATTTTCAGATTCGATTCAGTTTGTTTTTCACATTATAGTCATCCGAACCGATTGACTATTCGTCCGAACAGGTATGCTCTGATTCCAAGCGGATTAAGTCAGTTTCAAGTTTGGTCGTTTGAATTATTGCAGTAGTCTCTATGCCTCAAGTTGGTGTTATGACTGAATTCTCGTAGGGAGGACCACCGGTTAGTCAACTCGATTGCGCGAAATCCTTCGGACATACAGATGTTCATTATGGATGGCTTAAGCCTCACTATGGTTGAGGTAGATATCTCAGGTTATTCCTGATCACCATTCCCTTACACTTTGTGAAATGCTCCAATAGGACCAAGCGTCTCATCTAGCCTCTGCTAAGGAAACCCCACTTACTGCATTCCCGTGGCGAAAGTGTTTTCCCAACACCAAAGTGAGAGGGAACGAAAAACTGACATCCGGGGCTATCACCGGGTTGGTGAACCACTGGTAGTTCACCTAGGGAAGTCGATCCAAAACCCTGATTATAAACCAACCAAGGAAAAGGCATACGGACTACACACCCCTTCCTGGTTGTGGTAGTAGTACCGGTTCGGTTGGGCATCAAGGTGTATTGGGCACCTTAGACGTTTGACCCCATCCAAATGGTGTATGGTCCGATGAACTGGGCACTGGCCCCCAATGAACTGTATAGTCTTAGCTTCATCCCGTTGTCTTTCAGCTTTGGCTTTCTAGCCAACGGCTACGGGTGGAGACCCTGAGGTTCTCCCTCTTCCTCGGTCAAGTTAACTGGGACGTAACATTCCCGCACAACCTACGACCACATTCTACACGTTTGCACGTTTGCCAGTTCTCTGCAATTGCTTACTTGTTGAAATAATAATAATACTTTTCTTTGCTTGTCGGGATCACACTCATTTGTCAACTATGTGATCGATCAGTGAATACTGTATTAGTCAATACATGCTTGCGTCACTTACCTCTTCCGTCTGCCCACGCTATCGTTTGGATGTCCACTGGAGGCAAGTAGTTTATTTTATAACGCGGTCGGTTGTCACGACCAGAGCTGATACCAACACCTCTCCTCATTGACTGTTAGGCGGCAAATAATACCAGAGACAGTAATGTTTCTCCTCAGGGATTGGTCGTCTCACAAGGAAGCCGGACCATCAACCACCAACCGCTCACTGAATGCGACACGAGCCGTAGTTACCGTGCACCGGTTTCGGATCATTATTATTCTCCAAACGGTTTGTTATCAACAACCTCGGATCAGTTTGCAAACGCGAAAAACAGGAGCACAAGTGAAAAACACACCAACAGAACCGGGTGGTGGTGGCGCAGTGGTTTAGTAGCTGTCACCGGTATGCTTTGGATTTTGTGGTCCGGGTTTCGAGCCTCGCCACGGCCACCTAACTTTGGTGTTAGACAGCTTTGCTGCCGCCCGGTTCTATATACTACAACTGAGCTAGCGGAGCCCTATATGGTTCGCCAATCCAATCCCCAGAGCTTAGGTCGCCGGTTTTCATGAGTGAACAGCAGGCTTTCGTGACTATGGGGTCCACCTCGTTTGCTCTTCATCACGATACAGTATGTGATCTTCTCACCATAGATTGATAAACGTCGTACATACTTCCTCACGTGACTTTCAAACCTTGGAAAATAACCGTATTTTGCCTCTTGTTGGGTGAATTTTGAACAGCCAGGGGTTGCAAACAACTCACGGTACGAATATCCTCGCTAGCCGTGTCACGACTGGCAACATTGAGTGAATGATTCTGTAGTAATCGGAATTGTATTGAACGTAGGAGTACGAGAATCCGAACTGTAATACTCAGAACTTCAACGGACACCACTGAAATATAGGGAGAATCGGTAGCAGCAAGTGCCAATGTTTATTCATAGAAATGGAGCATGTTTTATAGAAAGCAATAGGTCGTATCATTGGTTGAAAGACCATCGTCCAATCACGTAACCATTTGCGCAAATGCATCACATGTACCAAGTGTTACGTAATGTTTGCCCGGTGTACCATTGGTCCAGCTTCGTGAACTTTAATTGGCTGTACAAGTCAAGTCAAAAATCGCTTTATTCATCCTAATAGATGGATTATCGGTTTCTTGCACTGCAGGAACATTTATCGTCGCATGCAGTCACAAGAGAATTGAGGGAAAAACAGCATCGTCAATTCAAAGGAGTGTGGAGTAAAATGTTTAAGAATGAATATTAATTGCGTAGGAATTTCAAAAAGTCTTCTCTAACCGATGCCTTTTGAGCCAGAAATCTCGAAAGATAAGGGATGACGGACAAACGATAGGTAGTGGTACGAGCATACACCAGTTTATAACGACATCTTGTTACAGAAGTGGATATGCATTGTTTAAGTTCTGTGTGTAATGGGCGAGTGGTGTCTGATAGAATGTTGTTACGGAAGTTATCACAAGTGGTAAAATGTTTATCGGCGACAAAGTTAAGCAAGTACAAATAAGGAATACCGCTTTTGCGAGAAATAATTTTAATAGATCGTCGTAGAATTGTGTAATCTGTAGCTCTAAGACCGTGAAATAAAACTGGGGAGCAGTAGAGAAGGTGAGTAACAACAGAAGAGTATGTAAAGCAAGTGATTAAATACAGTAAAACTTTTAAAGAACTCAAACGGGTAATAAAGAAACAACTGTCGAATCTTTACCCGGTCGTACTTGTATTGCGGTCACGTATGTCTGCATCACCACAGATTCATATCACGATTGAGAATAGTTTTCGATCGAATAAAAATTAATGAGAACCGGATTTAGGGATAGTAGACTCTGAGCTCCAATAATGATGTGCAGCTTTTTGCCAAGTTATTCATTGTACACCCGGGGAAGGCAGTTTATCTTATAGAATATCATTTATCTGTGGAGAATGTCCGTAAAGTAGTTTGCATATTTACCACCGTAAGTGCGGATTTGTAAGTAATGCAAACAAGAACTGATTGCTTGCTTTGCTTCGCACTTTACCACCACAGTTTATGGACAATAGTTTGGAGAAAAAAAACGGTTTGGGTGTTTACGGTCCGGCTTCTGAGCGTGTTCTGTCCGCAAAAGCGCGTCGTTTGAGCGGTAAAAATAGTGTGCGCATGCAAATCCCACCCCAATACCCGTTCAAATACAAATAGATCTCATCTTGGATATCTGCCTACAGAAACTCCGTGGTATCTTGTCCGGACACTGACTGACAAGGAGAGTGTTAGTTCTGAGCTTTCGCAAGCATTTAGTAGTTAATTCACATTTTTACACACTTGACGTCTCACGTCCTACCCCTGTTTTTGCCAGTATTATGACAGTCGTCCCCTTTTGGCTGAAATTTTGTCTATAACTTGTTGTAGCTTTAATACAGTTCGTACATTCGAACCTCCACAGACACGCTAAATATACATATATATATATATATATATATATCTTTCTCTCAGAATTCAATCAGTAATTCTCGGCCCATAAAATATTTCATCTGTGTTAAACGACAGACAGTTACGGTTCTACGGGCTTACAAGGCCAGAAAAGTGAACAATTCATTATTTTCAAGTCACACATTTGTACTATTCAGGTGAAAAATCCGATAACCAACTACGGTCTCGATATATGGTGGGAATCGTTATTTTTTACACATTCGTACATGTCGCACGTTATGCGCATCTCATGGGAATGAATTGTCATGCAACAACCCATTGTGTTCTATTTTTTTATCCCTGTATCTATTCTCTTTTTTCGGGCCCCGAACTCGCCAGGTGTGTGGCTTATCTGACTCTGGCATCTAAAGCCGGACTGCTTTCGTTTTTTGTTGTTGTTGTTTCAGTTTGAACAACATTAACCATGCACTTTCGTGCCCCGGTTTTTGCCGCTTTCGTTTGGCCGCCGATTTTGATCAACAGTACGAGAAAAACAGGAAGGTTGAAGGCAGAGCTGAAGAGAAAATTGGGAATTTTAGTGGCCTATCCTTGCAAACAAACTGAGAAGATGCGTAAACGCTACTGTTTACGACACTCAGCCATATCATTCATTATCTTTAAGCATCGGTTACGATAGTCCCGAGGTCCCCATCCAGGGAGCCTAACACGACCTATATGAACCAGACTCTCGGTTAAGGTTTTCATACCTTCATGCCAGATCCTAGCTTGACCATCCTTGACTTTATTCCACCCACCACTTGCCTCGGCGAACGTCACTCGTCGTGGCAACCTATCTGGTGACATGCGTAGTATATGCCCCAAAGAAAGTAATTATGGAAGTCAATCACTTGCTCCAGTGGGCGACCTGTTTACCTAAAACTCGGCTCTTTCGGCTGTCCCACCAGATTCGTGCAATGCTGCGCAGACAGCGGTGTTCAAACACAGCCTTCTGTATGCCAGCTGACACTTCATCCGTGATGCACCCACCGGGTGAGATGTAGCGGCTCAAATAACAAACCTTTTCCACTTGCTCTAATGCTTTCCCAATCATAGTGAGTCTTGGTGCTGGACTGACCCAATTTTGTCGCAACATTCTAGAAGGTGCAAAACGCGTACCGAACATAGCTACAGTAGCATTCAAACTATCCAGAAAAGCGTGCAACTTACTTGGATCTTCACTTAGTAGCATAATGTCGCCTGCATACTGTAGTCGGCCACCTGGATTTTAATTGATACCGCTATCCTCGCTCGAGGTTAGGGATAATTCCATAAACGGATAGTTGTCTAAACAGTCCCACAGAGCACATTTTCAAATAAAACAAGGAGTGGCGAACAAGCTTGTTTTCAGTGATTCGTAGTCATGCCAAATAC